AAAAGAAAAAGAATATAAAGTTAATTGCTTTTAGTTCTAATTCTGTCACTGGTTTTTATCTTCTTTTTTTTTTTGTGGTAGATAAGTTCACAAAAATATATTTGAGAGTGAAAATATAAATTCTCATGTGTGGCTACAGAGCTTCTTCTGTTCCCAATGACTATTCTAATTGCAAAACAGTATATTGAGTTGTATAGTCTTTGGGTCCAGTTATTTTAGCATGTGATTTTTGTTGTTGTTTGTTTGTTTGCAACACTTCTGATAACATATTTTAATAAAGGATCACAAGCAGAAAATTAGGGCATGCAATATATCAAACTATAATATTTCTAGCAAAAAGAATGGATACGACCACTAACCTGGGACAGATTAACTGGAGAATCAGCCATTTCTTAATGTTTTTCTTCTTTGTGTTTCTCTTTTACAAATAATGAATAAATGGCTTGCCAGCCTTTCATATTAAGGGGTCAAAAAGAAAAAGCAAAAATTAATATTGAAATTAGTCAAAGAACAATGTCAAACCACATGAAAAGACCCAAACAAAAGAATACGACCAGGAGTCCAGACAATGATCCCAAATCCAAGGGAGCATGGAAAGACATTTAAAGCTTAGAGAAAATCACTATCAACCATACTATTACAACTAGAAAAATACTTTATTAAAATTGGTGGAGACAAGTGCATTTCAAAATAGTCCGGAATTAACACAATTGATTTCACTAAAGCAGCACTGCAGATAATTAATCAGAGGCAAAACATACACAGGAGAGTCAGAGAATCATCCATAAGAACATGGGAATTAATAAATAACTTGTGCATAGAGAAATACAGGAGAAATGGGAAGTAATCACCAACGGGGAAGAAGCAAACCACTATCTCTCACAGAGAAGGAAGAATGCTACGAGTAATCCAACCAGCAGCAACATAAAAAACAAAAGCATAGGGAATAAACACCCTATGAACAAAGTATCTAGCTACTCTAGAAATCAATATGAAGAATCCTCAATTAAATAAACAAAGTCTGAAGTTAAATCTAGCACATGATCCAGCTGCTCCACTCCTTGGTATATTCTCAAAGGACTCAACATCCTACTCCACAGATATTTGCTCATCCAAGTTCATTGCTGCTCTACTCACAATAGCTACAAAAGGGAAACCTTAATGACCTTCAACTGACAAATGGATAGTAAAAATGTGGTACATATATGCTATGGAATACTATTCACCTACAAAAAAATTGAAATCTTGAGCTTTGCAGTTAAATGGATGGATCATATTTAGAGTTACCTCAAGCCCAGAAAGAATGCATGATCTCTCTCATAGGAAGTTCCTAGCTCCAAATCTTCAGATATGAGTACACAACCTGGAGTAACAAGAAAAGTAAAAGGAGACCACAGTGGGGTGTGAGGGAGTAACAGAGATGGAGTAAAAGGAACCAGTGATTTGAAGGGGGGAAAAGAAAAATACAGGGGGGGATTCCTTATAGAGAAGGGACAGATATAAACACAGAATGAGGGTAAAATAACAGTAAGGATGTCTGAAACAGTCAACGAATCATACTATTATCATCTACCTAAAATGCCTATAATACATACTAGTCTGTATAAGTATATATGTTTAGTGTGTAAATGAAAAGTTCTCATCTGGGTAATAATCCTCACAAGAGCATGGATATTCTAACAAAACCACTAACACCAGGTGTAAGAAGCTTGCTGTGGGATAATGCTCTTGTACACTGTAAAGAATTGTTACTCCTATTGATTTAATAAAACACAGATTGGCCAGCAGCCAGACAGGAAGTGTAGGTGGGGTGACTAGACTAGAAGGCTAGGGAGAGGAAAGGCAGAGACGGAGTTGCCAACCAGATGCAGAGGAAGTGATATAAGAATGCTGGACTGAGAAAAGGTACCAAGCAACGTGGCTAAACACAGACAAGAATTATGGGTTAATTTAAGCATAGAACTAATTACTTATAAGTCTGAGCAATAGGCCAAACAGTTTATTGTTGCTGGAGGGCTTCTCTCCAGGTTCCCCAAGCCCTGCAGTCCCACAATCCATGTATAAAATAATCACTCAGACGCTTATATCACTTATAAACTGTATGGCCGTGGCAGGCTTCTTGCTAACTGTTCTTTTATCTTAAGTTAACCCATTTTTATAAATCTATACCTTGCCACGTGGCTGGTGGCTTACCAGCGTCTTCACATGCTGCTTGTCCTGGTGGTGGCTGCAGTGTCTCTCTCTTCTTCTTCCTGTTTCCCCAATATTCCTCTCTCTTTGTCCCGCCTATACTTCCTGCCTGGTCACTGGCCATCAGTGTTTTATTTATATAGAGTGATATCCACAGCAGTTTATAATTAATATAAGCCTCTGTGTGTTTATTTGGGACTGAATGGCTGCAGGCCTGGGTGGGACAGAAACTTCTTCCTACAGAAGCCTGCTTTGAAATTGTTGGTAATAGCCATCCAAGACATTCCCACAACATTATATAGGCTATTGCTGTTGCCCATGTTTGCTTCCTAGGGATAGAAGGTGAGTCCGTCTTATTGAAGAAGCCACACACTTCAGACACAAATCCTACAGGACTAGAGTTGGATATGACCTTAAAGCCTTCTCCCTGAGGACTAGCTTTCACAGTACTACAAGGCAACATGCAAGCTTCCAAAGGAGCCAACAAACAGACTTACCTAGCTCTGACACCTGTCCTTAACCACAATTCTAGCATGCTGCTCATACATGCAAAGCACTCATACATATAAAACATAAATACCTAAATGTAAAATGTTATGGAATTCAAGCTATCCCAGTGTGATCCCAGATGACACTGCAGATCCACACAACCAACAGCATCATGGGAGTGGAGGAAGACAGACAAACAGCCCCATGCAATAGAACAGCAGATCCAGAACCTGCCCAACAGCAATGTGAATGTTATCAAAACACCATGAACTTGTGTTGCAGACTAGACAGCCTCTTCAAACAGTGGTATTAGGAAAAGTATATAGACCACATATAAAAACATGAACCTAGGTTCAATTATCTTTTAACATACAATGAATCACAGACCCTTATGTACGATTTGAAACCATGAAGCCTGCAGAGCAACACAAAGGGGCAACACTTGATACAAGAGCAGGAACTGACAAATAGTACTGTGTAAAATAAAAAACATCCAGGGAAAGGGTAATAATTAAAAGTATGAAGAGACACCCTACACAGCAGATACATTTATTAGCTAGCTATTTATACTACAATAGATAAAAACCCACAATCTATCAAAAGTTACAAAGGAAGCAAATGATAATCCATAAATAAGCAAATGAATTAATAGGCCATGGTCAACAGCAGTCGAAGTGGCCAGTATGTACATATAAAAAAGCTCTACAGTGTAGGTCATAAGGTAATATAAATTTAATATACAGAGATTCCAATTTTTTCTAGTCAGTGTCTACACTCAAGTTCCTAAACAATAACAAATGCATTTCTTTCAGTAATTTCTTGAAATGTAAAAGGATAATATTCCCTAAGCAAATGATATAAACAGACTACAGTATTCAAAAAAAGGTGAGAAAACAAACATATTTTCAACCAAAAAATTTCATTTCATGTCTAAAGATACAAAATACTGAGAAAGAAGGAAAGGTTTTTTAAAAATGCCACAACTATGGACAGCTGTTAAAGATAACTGATGATAGCCATTATAATAGTGACAGAAAAATAAAGACAAAAGTATCAAAGTATAAAATAAACAGTATTAGCAAATAACAAAATGGTTCATTAGCCAGAAAGTCCTTGATCAACATTAGTGCATGTCATATAAACCAGAATGCAGACATCCACAGCAGACAGAAAACAGGAAAATACATAAAACATGTGGAAACATTGCCTCATGTTCTTTTCAAACACAAGACAACCTAGAAGGTGGTCTGTCTTCTCTAAGACTCCAAGCAATTCCCATTACAATCCTGTTGCATGTTTTATAGAAAGTAATCCTGAAAGTACCAAAGAACAGTAAAGAGCCAGAAAATACTAAGAGGATCAAACCTAGAGGTGATCTCACAGTGTGTTACAAATACAGCAATGGAAACCACTTGGAATTGTCATGACCACAGACAACAGGAGATATCCATGGGAAGACAGTGTAGACAGAGTTTAGCAGGCTGTAAATATACTTCCTTATTCTTATCATAACTCTGTTGGCATTACTTTCAGGAACAGAGACACTAAAAGGGACAGAATGTGCTAGAATACCAAAGCTCCAAAATTCTGAAAACAATCAATAAACTTAATTTTCATCATTTTATAAAATCATTCAATAATGGTATGAAGACATGATTAGTGATGTAAAAGAATAAGAACAGCAACACTCACATGCTTAGTTAAATAAAATTTTATTTGCTTTCCTTATCAATTCTTCTATGGCAAGTATTCTCACACCTACAATAGGATAACCATGAGATCTTTGTCAGTGGAAGTCTCCAGAATTATTTCCCATGAAACAGAATGTGGCAAAACTGATTTCATGCCCCACTTCCACATTCACTTGAACCCCTTGCCATCCCTTCACCAATGCCTCCACCATACCTGGATCCTTAGCCACTGTCTCCTCACTCTCCACCTTCCAGGGCTCTTTGCTCTAGTCCACACGTGAGCAGGGCTGGGTGATCAGTGAGCCCTGAAAGTGAGAACGAGATTCTTTAGAAACACCTGGATTTCTAACACAGTACTGTGCTCAGTAGTTGAAGAGAAGAATCTACAAATGATTCCCCAGTTGTCATGCAGGGTCAGAATACTAAAAATATTTAGAAAGCATTTTTTTTTTTTTTTTTTTTTCTTTGGTTTTGCGCCTTTCCTGGAGCTCACTTGGTAGCCCAGGCTGGCCTCGAACTCACAGAGATCCGCCTGGCTCTGCCTCCCGAGTGTAGAAAGCATTTTCATTTAGCGTAACTTGAATGCTACTTCTAATCACAGCTCAGTCAAAACTCAGGGGCTGAAATGGAACTGAATAATTGCAATGACAATTTTATACACAAATGAGTTAGTGAATTTATCATGGATCAAAAATGACAGAAATCTTACATTTCCCAAAAGGACATATACTTGCAGAGTAATTTACCAAGAAACCCTGAGGAGGAGCAAGGAAGACTGCAGGCAAACAGTTCTCACCCACAGACACCAGACTGCTCTAATTCTGTAACATCCACTCTCTATACAAAGCCCTCTGAGCAGGGTCCAGGCATTGCCCCTCCTCCTGGGAGAAGTCCACAGTCACACCGCTGGCTGTCAACAGACCACAAAGTAAAACACAACACTGAGAAAGATTGTGTTGGTGCCTGTCTTTAATATTAGCAGTGGGAAGACAGATGTGGGGTGGGACTCTGTAAGTTCAGGTCCACCCTGGTCTATATCATGAGTTCTGGGCCAGACAGAGCAACACAGTGAGTTCAGGCCTCAAACAAAGCAAATGCAAGACTAAAAAAGTAACAGTTTGGTCATGCATCCATAAACAGAGTCCTTTTCTTGAACCGAGGAGACAAAAGACTATTGCAGACATTTTTCTGATGTAGATGAGTGATGATATTTATTCAAAAGATGCTTTCTTTATTATCTATCCTATATTAAAATACCTTTTCATTTCTTCCTTCCTTCCCTCTCTTTCCTTCTTTCTTTTTCTACCCCTGAGATAGGGTTCCTCTGTGTGGCCCTGACTGTCCTTAAACTCACTCTGTAGACCAGTCTGGAAAGGAACTCCAAGATCTACCTGTCTTTGCCTCCAGAGTGCTGGGATTAAGGTGTGTGCCACCACCCCCAACAGGTTTATAATACCCCTTCTAACTTTGGAAATACTGTGACCTGACACCTTCAAACAGCAAAGTGTGCTTTCCAGGCTCTAAGCTGCAACATTAAGAACTCAGCACAAGAATCCACATTTCTCTTTTCTTTTCTTTTCTTTTCTTTTCTTTTCTTTTCTTTTCTTTTCTTTTCTTTTCTTGTCTTTCTTATTTATTTATTTATTTACTTTTTGTTGTTGTTGTTGTTGTTGTTTTGAGACAGGGTCTCACCATGTAGCTATGGGTGTCCTGGAACTCACAATGGCTGGCCCAGAAATTACTGAGATCCACCTGCCCCTTCCCCCTGAGTGCAAGGATTCACGGCGTGCGCCATTGGGTCTGACAAAGACAGTTTTCAGAATGCTGTATTTACATCACAGAGTCCTTATGTCTCAGTTGGAAAGTTAATTGTGGATAAAAAAGTTTACTTTTAAATGTTAAATGTTTACAACCGTATCTGTGGAACTCTTAAAAATATATCTTCAAATTCAATTCAATCTGCAGGCATTCCTGTAAGTTAACAGGCCAGGGGGAAATCACCCTGCTCATGTCCTGCCCCAGAACTCTGAGATTGGTGCAAGCAGGCGTCTGGGAAGTGGAAGGCGGAGACAGAGGGAGCTGCTGCCTTCCAAAGCCATGAAACACATGATGTAAGACACCTATAAGCCACAAGCCATGTGGCAAGGTATAGATTTATAGAAATGGGTTAATTTAAGATATAAAAACTAAATAACAAAAAGCTTGCCACAGCCATAGAGTTTATAAGTAATATAAGTCTCTGTATGTTTGATTGGGTCCGAGCAGCTGCAGGACTGGTGGGTGAGAGAAATTTATCCTGACCGTGGGCCAGGCAGGACCAGGAAAACTTCAGCTCCACAAATGTTACAGTAAAGATGGGAAAGGGGTTACCTGTTGGAAGATGGAAGCCTTACAGCTCTGAAGGGAAAGGTAGCCTGGCAGTTGGGAGCCAAGGAATACCACAAAGTCAAACTGAAAAACAAAACTCACAGAAGAGATTTATTGGGAGGGCAAAACACAGCCTCTGTGCTGAGGAGAATCACCAAAGAACTGAGCTTGATATATTTCTTGGCGGGGAGGGCAGGGACCTCAGAACTTTCCAGGGTGGCCTGATCTTGTGGCATGTGCAGGGATTGCTGGGCTTTTGTGGCTAGATATTAGGCCTCCCTGTCCCATATGCGGGGCCTGGCCACACTCCAATCTCAAGGGCTAGAAATGTCAGTCAATACCCTTAAAGAATTCTAGGGGATGGGAGGTGGGGCAGGGCCTAGCCACTCCTTTGTCTCAAGGGGCTTGCAGTCTGGAAATCAAGCCCTATGACTAAGTGTTCATAGGCATAACATTTCAGCATAAAGCAATACTTCAGGCCCCAGTGTACTTTTCCACTATCTCGCTGCACATGATCCAAAGACAGAATAAAAGCCCGACCCTCCACCAAGCTCTTCCCTTTCAGAGTAGCCACCATTCTGTGCTTTTCCCCAATAAATCTCTTGCATGAGGTTTGTTGCACGGTGTGCCTTAGTTGTATTCCTTCACATCTGACTGCAAAAAATGCCCTTGCTCTCTCTCTCTCTCTCTCAAAAAAAAAAAAAAAAAAAGTCTTACACTTCCTCTCATGACTTATATTTAAAAGCTCTCCCGGGATGCTACGTCGCCGGGTATAACACAGAAGTTAGCAGGGGTGATGTAAATTTCAAGACTTTTGTCCTTATCATCATAACAAAGAAAAATCTCTTTCAAATATCAACAAATAGATTCAAATGTTCTACTCGAGTTTTCTTATAAGAATATTTTGGCAACCAGAAAAATCGATGAAAAAGAATCAGGATTAGCCCAGTTCATATGATCTAAAATTTAACGACAAGGGAAACATCCACAGCAGAACTTCAGAGCCGGCTTCCTTATGAACAGCAGAGAAACTGCTCGCACACCGGTCCCTCCCCTCCCGTGTCCCAGCCCCGCAGCTCCTCTGACCTGGGAGGTTCCAGGGCCACCGGGCTGCGGTTCCCGCCACTGCGCTGCTGACTGGTGACTTTCCCAGGCCGCCCCGCGCGGCGACTGCGGCTCCGGGGAGATTTCAGGTCCCCGCGACACCCCGCCGTGTCCTCCGCACCCAGGTCTGCACCACACGGTTCCCCACCGTGCAGGACCCGGGAAAACGACAGAGAACAGAAACTTGTTTTGGTTCCTCAGCCCAACTAACCGGGCCTCAGTAACAGGACTTCCGTTACGTCACTCCGTTGACCCCTCCCACTCACGTACTTCCTCTACACCTTACCAGTGGCCAACAATCTCCTCCAAAAGATGTTTCCGGGTGAGTGTCCCCGCCTCTGTGAGCCCGGTCCCTCCCACTCGGTCTCAGGCTGCCTTCCACACAGCTCCAACCGTCAGACTGCCCTGCACCCGCTCTGCACAGCCTCCCCACATGCTCGCTGCCAGCCTGGACCAGAACTGCTTCTAGGAGGACGCTGCACCCCGGTTTCTGACCCCACAGTGAGTTCTGAACCCTTCAGATTAAACACAGGCAGGCTAACCTCGGCTTGACTACCAGCCTCCCTGGCTACATACTTACGCAAACGATTAACACTCTAAATTCAGATGCCAGCGTCCCAGCGCTAACACAGACATGACAAGGCAGGGCCAAATACTGCAATTTCAACTTGGGGAGAGACATTTCAGGAACTTGGATGTTTAAAACAAATAGATGTCTCCAAAGTCAGTGGTCAGGCTAACAACAGCCCAGGACTGAATTCATCCCACGAGGTACTGCTTTCATCACCGATGGTGGTTTTTGTCATTTTTCTAACTCAGAAACAAGTTCGTCTTCTGTGACTCGTGCTAAAGGTGTTTTGAGATAAAACGTAGAAAAATTCTTTGAAAAAAAAAATGCACTGGTGGATGCAGAGACTCTTGTCCCAGATGCAGAAAATAAGTAAGGTATATGTCCCAACCCTAAAAACGTTAGTTATACCATCCCATCTATGGCTCTGGTAACACTGAGGACGAGGAAGAGGAAAGGAAATAAGAAGGGAAAGAGGAGGAAGGACTAAGACACGCTGTTCTCCAGATTCCATACAGATACTATAATCAGTAACCAACAACTATACTAACCTGAGGTGGCCAAACACAAGGCAACAATTGATGTAGGAAAGGAAAAGGCTCCACTCATGAGCTCTTAAATGTTTGCTATAGGTAGACTTCTTTGTTGTTGTTTTGAGACAGGGGTTCTCTGTGTAGTCCTGGCTGTCCTGGAACAGGCTCTGTAGACCAGACTGGCCTTGAACTCAGAGATCTGCCTGCCTCTGCCTCATGAGTTCTGGGATTAAAGGCATGAATCCCCACTGCCCAGCTATGGATACATTTAAAGAGAAGAATCACTGCCTTTAGCTGCAGTCCTCTGCTGAGCCCACCAGGCTCCAACACATAGCTCCAAACCCACAGTCTCACATTGGCCCTGGTTAATCTCACTGGGTTCCAAAGCAAAATGAATGGACATGAACACAACAGAGATTTGTTGGGACTGTGGACCAGGATAGGAGATAGGTAGAAAGTGAGAAATGACAATATTTGAAGCACATGTGTGTGAATATACTCGTGTGTGTGTGTGTGTGTGTGTGTGTGTGTGTGTGTGTGTGTAAAGAGAGAGAGAGAGAGAGAGAGAGAGTGCTAATAACAACACACTTCTTTTATTTTTTAATTTTTATTATTATTATTATTATTATTTTTTCGAGACAGGGTTTCTCTGTGTACCTTTACGCCTTTCCTGGAACTCGCTTTGTAGACCAGGCTGGCCTCGAACTCACAGAGATCTGCCTGGCTCTGCCTCCTGAGTGCTGAGATTAAAGGCATGCGCCACCACCGCCCGGCTAAAAGCAACTGTGCATTTTGGTTTTGTTTTTTTTTTTTGGTTTTGTTTTTTTTTTTGTTTTTTTGTTTTTTTGCAACAGGGTTTCTCTGTGTAGCTATGCGCCTTTCCTGGAACTCAGTCTGTAGTCCAGGCTGGCCTCGAACTCACAGAGATCCGCCTGCCTCTGCCTCCCAAGTGCTGGGATTAAAGGTGTGTGCCGCCGCCACCGCCCAACAACTCACTTCTTAAATGGCCATAAAAATGTGTCATTTCTTTTTGGTTATATTGTCTATTTTAATATCAGGAAATACTGAGTCAGGAAATCATCGCGTTTTTTGTTGTTGTTGTTTTTTGTTTTTGTCAAGAAGTATTTTAAGTGGCTTTGCTGTTAGTTCTTTGAAGTTCTGATAGAATACTGTCAGTCTGGTCATGGGGTTGTTTGGGAGGGCATTTTATTACTGCTTCAGTCTCATTGCTAATTGTAGTTCTGTTTACATTATTTCGTGTTTTAGATTGGTATGTTACATGCACTTTTAAACTTGTTTATTCCTATTAGAGTTTATAATTTAGTGGAATGGAAATCTTTAATGTTAATAGACAAAAGATACACTTGTTCACTTTTGACTATCAAATATTTTGTCAAGTTACCTTGGGTAATTGTCAAGACATGATAACAAAAAGTGATGTAGACGGGCGGTAGTGGCGCCTGCCTTTAATCCCAGCACTCAGGAGGCAGAGCCAGGCAGATCTCTGTGAGTTCGAGGCCAGCCTGGTCTACAGTGCGAGTTCCAGGACAGGCACCAAAACTACATGGAGAAACCTTGTCTTGAAAAAGAAAAAAAAAAGTGATGTATAGTTGGGCAAGGTCATGCAAGTCTATAAATCCAGCAGTCAGGAGGCAGGGGCAAGGAGAAGTCTGAGTTCATTGAAAGCTCAGTTGACCCGAGTTTTATTGGGGTGACTTACAAGAGTGGTGGTGAGGGGTTATTTATAGAATCATCAAGGACTCAATGACAGCTGCAGGACCCTGTGAGAGTGATGGCTAATGAAGCTGGAAACCTGGGGATCACTGCACAGCTTGCAGGCAGCTCAAGGGAGGTTGGGAGTGTATCTTTCAAGCTACTCACCACCTCCTCCAGGCAGCTTGTCTTGTCTTGTCTGGACCAGGCAGCTTGCCTGGTCTTTGTTTCATGGCTGAAAGGACAACTCAAATGAGATGTCCATGAAAAAGCTACATGGAACCTATCAATTTGCAACACAGAAAGTGTAAGAGTATAGTAGGACACAGGTGCTATAAAAAAACGGAGCACTGGATAATATGTGCTAAATGTTTAACTGGGTAGGTGGTAGGAAGAAAGGTGAAAGAATAGGTGGGTTAACCAAAAGTAAGGATGTATGAAGAAGCTTTATGAAGCTTTATGTACTATCTTACAAGTTAATAGTAAATACGATTTTAAAACTTTGAACAGAGGTTTCCCACAAGGGCAAATAATGCTGCTCCCAGTCACAGGGATATTGCATGGAACTCTCTGTACCAAGTACTGGTTATCTACCTAGGTAAGGGAGGCTCCAGGGTAATCCCAAATAAAACAGGTCACTGACAGTGCTCTTACTTGGCCACCATAAGTACATGGTGTTGAAGACACCATATACTTTGGTTACAAGATGGAGACCAATCTTGAACTTACCAGGGAACTCTCCCTGCTGGCTGGGTTTTGTAGCACTGCAAGGTCCTGTGCAGGGTCCTGGCAGAGAAAGATGTCAATGATCTAAGCCATCCCTGGACCCTGCATCTGACAATACCAACGTATTAGGGAAAATGTGTGCACTGGTGCAACACTGTCACAACTGCTTAAGGGCATAACCAACCAATCCCTTGATTGAATTTGAGGCTTGCTCCATAGAGGGGTCATGCCTTGAACTATAAAAACAAAGCAAAAAAAAAAAAAAAAAAAAAAGTATAGCTTGGGGAGTATAGGCCAAGGGCAGAACGACTGATGTTTTGTTAATGATCATGGTTGTTAACCTGCCATCTAAATATTCATGTTTATACTTGCTAATTTATACTACTCTCAACCTTGGTGAAAGAAGCCTCCTTTTCATTTGGTAAAAAGACTCCTAACTGTTTAGAAAGTAGTAAGAACAGGCAACTGTTCTTACTGTTCATGGCCAAGGGTGGGGGGTATCCCATGAGTCTCCTTTCAGTCCACTCTGATCAAACAATAAAGCTGTTAAAGGCAGCTATATTGTTTGACCAGAGTGAATACTTAGCCATTTTCTTTAGTACTTCAAAATGAATTTCTGTATGCCCTTTGGGGTGGGTGTCTTTGTAGTTTTATTTATTGAGACGGGGTGGCCTCAGCCTCATAGAGATCAGTCTGCCTTTGCTTCCAGAGTCCTGAGATTTAAGACATGCACCACAACCTGAGCCATTGGGGTTTTGTAAGCTATATATAAGCATGCCCATGTTATCACATTCACAGCCTGTCTCTTTACAGTTTCTCACTTTCTTGCTATTAGTAAGAGTAACAGGGTCCCAACCTTAGTAGGCCCCTAGACCTTAACACAACTGATTCCATGTTGGAAGAGCCATTCAGGATGTAAAACTCAGCACATAGACACCATCACCTGCCAAAAACTAAAACAAAGACCTAATCCATCAAAGTCCTTATAGTTCTGCAAAAGTCTCAAAATTATACTAATCTTGCCTTTTAGCTTCTATAGCTCTGCTTCTGGCTAACTGTTATTGTTAAATCAAGTGTGTCAACCCAGAACATGTTTTTTGTGCTTAAAAGGCTAGGTGCTATACTGGGATCTCCAACACCCAGTGTAATCACTGGTAGACTTCCTATTGGCTAAAACCCATCTCTGAGCAGTCTCCTCTTGAAAACACCTACAACAGTAAGGTTTGACTTCTGTAGGAAGATTTTGAAAGTCAACAACAGTTGAGACTTTATGAGAGCATTTTCTTGTGTTTTCTTTCATGGTGAATTTGCTTTTATGTGGGCAATTTCAGCACTAGAGAAAGGATTTATCAAATTGAATTTCACACATGGGGATTGCACAGGGTATAACCTTATATGGTTTCTCAGAACTATGAATTTTTCAATGTACAACAAATTTAAAGGGCTTCATCACATTTTTTATGTTACAACATTTTGTCCTCATTACGTTTTTTTTTTTTTTTTTTTTTTTGTTGTTGTTGTTTAAACAGTGTTTATGTAGTCCCGGCTGTCTGGAAACTCACTCTGTAGACCAGGATGGCCTGACTCACAGAGATCTTCCTGAGTTTGCCTCCTGAGGGCTGGGATTAAAGGTTCTCACTACCATACCCACCATTATTATGAGTTTTTAGATTTTGAACAAGATAAATTTTTTATTACAGCTTTTCTGAGGGCTGGAGATATGGCTTAGTTAGGTGCACTGGCTACTCTTCTAGAAGACTGGGTTCAATTCCAAACACACATACCAGCTCATAATTTTTTGTTAATCCAGCTTTAGGGGATTTGATGACCTCTTCTGGCCTCTCCAGGTACCAGAAATACATGTAGTGCACAGAAATACTTACATATAATGTAACCATACACCAAAACAAACAAAAAACCTTTTCCTGCAGAATTTTATTTTCTTATAAACCCTGTGAATTCTTTTAAGATTTATACCTTCATTAAAGACATTCACAAGTTTTGCATCTTTGTGTTTCTATTATTGTGATTTCTGAGTAGACAATTCCAGATAAAGCTATGTCACATCATTTGCAATGGTATTTTTTTCTCCAGTTTTAATTTTCTGATGTTTTCTAAGTTTCAAAATCTGAATAAAGGACAGGTCACATTATTTGCACTTGTAAGTTCTCTATCCAGTATGAATTTTCTGATGTATTCTAAGATGTGAGTTACGGGGAAATGATTTGTCACATTCTATACATTTGTAAGGTCTCTCTCCAGTATGAATTTTCTGATGTTGTCTAAGAGTAGAGCACTCAGTAAAAGATTTGTCACACTCTCTACATGTGTAAGGTCTCTCTCCGGTATGAATTCTCTGATGTGTTCTAAGATGCGAGTCCTGGGTAAAGGATTTGTCACATTGCATACATTTGTAAGGTTTCTCTCCAGAATGCATTTTCTGATGGCGTTTAAGTGCTGACAACTGAAGAAATGACTTTTCACATTCTCTGCATCTGTAAGGTCTCTCTCCAGTATGAATTCTCTGATGTATTCTAAGATATGAGTCCTGGGTAAAGGACTTGTCACACTTCATACATTTGTAAAGTTTCTCTCCAGTATGAATTTTCTGATGAGTTCTCAGATTTGAGGTCACAGAAAAGGATTTGTCACATATCTCACATTTGTAAGGTTTCTCCCCAGTATGGATTTTATGATGCCGTCGAAGAGTTGAGTTCAATGTAAAGGATTTACCACATACCTCACATTTATAAGGCTTCTCACCAGTATGGATTCTGTAATGCCTTTTAAGATGTGATAAGTCAAGAAAGGATTTACCACATTCTTTGCATTCATACAATTCCTCTAGAGAATGAGTTTTCTGATGTCTTCTAAATGATGAATAGTGAATAAAAGAACTGTCACACTCATTGCATTTGTAAGGCTTCTCTCCAGTATGGAGTCTGTAATGTCTTCTTAAGTGTGAAAGCCAATGAAAGACTTTGCCACATTCTTGACACCTATAATGTTTCTCAGCAGTATGGATTTTCTGATGTCTCCTGAAGTTAGAATAGTGAGAAAAGGATTTGTCACATTCCTTACATTTGTAAGGCTTCTCTCCTGTATGCATGTTCTGATGGCTTTTAAGTGCTGAGGACTGATGAAAGGACTTTCCACATTCTCTGCATTTGTATGGTTTCTCCCCAGTATGAAGTCTTTGATGTGTTTTCAGACTTGAGGACTGTGTAAAGGATTTGTCACAAACGGTGCACTTGTAGGGTTTCTTTCCAGTATGAATTCTCTGGTGCTTTGTAAGAGTTGACTTTACAGTGAAGCATTTGTCACATTCCTTACATTTGTAAGGCTTCTCTCCAGTATGAATTCTTTGATGTACAGTGAGGCTTAAGGCAGTACTGAAGTATTTCCCACATTTCCCACATTGGTGTGGTTTCTCTCCAATGTAGAATTTTTGTTGCAAACAACTGTATGTAGAGTCAAAATAGTCATTATATTCTCCCTGCTTTTGCTCTTGCTTTGCAGTGTAGAGTCTCTGATCTTGAGTAAGGTTGGAACACAAATTTAAAGATTTCTCATGGTCTTTAGATTTGTAAGACTCTTCTCCAGTTTGCATGCTACCATGTCTGTCTGGGTTTGTTAAGTCAATGGAGGCATCCCTGTGATTATTGCATCTGTAGTTATTAGAATTTTCTGTAGTTTCACTTGTTCTATAAAGTGCACATGTGGAGGGGTCATGAAGCACTTTGTCAAGCTCATTACACTGACAAGACTCCTTTTCATTATTCACATGTTGATGGACAGGGTCACATATGCAGTAGTTCTCTGAAAATGAGTACAGTTCAGGTTAATAGGGCCTGTACCAAGATTAAACATTTGCTAAATGACTGTCTCCCTAAATTCTCTCTTAAGGTAAGTCAACCAGCAACTATTTAGAATAGAAGTCCCAGGAGTTCACTTTTTTTTTTTTCACTCTAATTTATGGACTCTCAGAAAAAACAAAAACACCACCACCACTACCACCACCACCACCACCAACAACAACAAAAAAAAAACAGTGATAGCCTTCAAGGAAGTTGAAGCCGATAATAGAGGAATCAGTAATTAGCTTGGGGATGGAGGTTACTGACTGTTTAAATGTAGAGTATATATCTCTGCTTTCAAATATTTTTTTCTCAAATATTGATGAAGAAGAGTTTAATCCAATCCCAGGTTCACGGTGTTTACTTACTAATGTACAGCAATGAAGATTATAGTTCAGAATACCCAATTCCTTTTAAGATTAAGGGCTTATTGAAAGGCATCAAAGGGTTTATATATATTTTTTCCTAAATAATACATTAGATTTTTCAAAAGTAAAAGATACAAAGCAAGTATTTTGCCAGACATCAGAGGCTCAAAATCAAAGGTTCTGAACCTGTGGGTCATGACTGTCTGAAAATACATTATTTCCAATGGTCTTAGGAACTGAAGCATTGTTTAGTAACAAAGTTACAGTCAAGAATTAGCAACAAAAATAATTTTATGGTTGGGAGTCACCAAAACATGAGGAACTCTATTAAAGGGTTGTAACATCACCAAGGTAGAGAACTGCTGCTCTAGACCATTTGAAGCAGGGCTATCATGGGAAGCTAGTGCTTATTTCTATCTACCATCAGCATACATGCAAGGAGGCAATTACAGAATAATACTACTTCATTTACTCCTGTTAGAATTAGAGTTTTGTAAAACAATTCCAATCTGATATCAACATAGTCAAATACAATTGCATTTTATACTAGTATTAAGTCACCATAATCCAGGTGCAATAAGACACATGTTCCAACAATTACAATAGGAAGGAGGCATCCCTGAGCTAGGATACTATACTAAGTTCAATTATCAGAAATCCTTTCAAGTGGAATTGAGTATAGCAAAAGCATTCTCAGCTCTTTCTTACTGTTTCACTTGAAGATATCACTGTTGTTCCATGGGTACTCTCTCCTCTCCATGTTCTAGAACAATCTCATTTGCCCCAAATAGCTGACCAGGTCTACTCTGCATACAATTACCCATGTATTCTATGAAGCTGCCCAAGATGAATGCTAGAATTTTTAGAAATAATACAAACATCTAACACAGTAGTGTGCTTAGTACATGAAGAGATCACAAAGTAAAGGAATCTAGGAATAATTTCCTATTGCTATTTCCTGTCAGAATCTTCAGCATATTTAGGTAGAATTTTCAATGTGCATATCTTGAATTTTTCTTACAACTAAAACAATGTCAAGTACAATGACAGACATGCAGCTTTAAGATATGAGTGGAAATATTATATGACACTGAGTTTCTGAATAATCATGGACCCTAAATGAAGGGTATATGACACCTGAATAGATAGAAAAAAAAACAAATACCAAGAAAAAGTTCTTTGGTACTACCAAGCATTCCCTAGTCTGCTGTTTCCAAGACCGCATAACACAGAGTTCATAACCTATAAAACCAGTACATAGAAAGCCTGAGTTAGGAATTCTGCAAGCAAAGTGTACTCACCCACATAGACCAGGTTGCTGTAATTTTCCAACATCACATCAATGTACAAAGTCCTCTGAGCAGAGTCCAGGCATTCCCACTCCTCCTGGGAGAAGTCCACGGCTACATCCCAGAAGGTCAACAGACCCTGAAACACAAAGTACAATTTGTGTTTTTACCAGATAGAGTGCTTTCCTGCATATAAGGAGACTTAAAGAAATCAGGGAGGTAGATGAGCAAAGACAATTACCCAAAAAGATGATTTCTAATATAGTCACATTCTATAATGGGTTTTCTAACTGTGAAAACAAGATGACACACTAGTCTCACAGTGGAAATATTTTTAAAATTACAGGTCATTAGTGTATGTGGGGATATTTGCCCCCGCTCCAACCCCCAAATCTATGGAGAGCAGAATAGAGATAAGTGCTACAAGACATATGGAATTGTAGAATTCCATTGTATAGCTGTATTCTATTATATAGCTATAGTCATAATGACACTCTAGTATGGGAATAAACACAGACAGAAGGATAACAATATGATAGAGAACCCAGGAAGAAAACCATTAATCTATCCAACTTAATATTTGACAAAGAAGAAAAAATACAAGAGAATAATATGGCCTTTTCAACAAATGGTGCTGGCAAAACTAGATCCAGCAAGAAAATGAATTAGATTCTTAATCTTTCACATTGTACAAAAATCCATTCAAAAACCTAATTTAAAACGAGATGCAGGGGCTGGAGAGATGGCTCAGTGGTTAAGAGCCCTGGCTGCTCTCCCAGGGGTTCTGACTTCAACTGCTAGCAACCACATGGTGGCTCACAACCGTCTGGTGCCCTCTTCTGGCCTGCAGGGACACATGCAGGTAGAATACTGTATGTATAACAAACAAATAAATCTTTAAAAAAACAAAAACAAACCAGACACACAGAAATCTCGAACACAGTGAATACCAATCAGTATACTTGGAGGGACAAGACTTTTCTGAATAGAAAGAACACCAACAGCGCAGGAACTAACCCGAGATTAACAGATGGGACTACATGAAAATAAAGAGTTTCTGTTTAGCAAAAGAAACAGTCAGCAGAGCACACAGACATTCCTCAGAATGGGAGAGACTCTACCAGCAACACTTTGGATAGGGGCTCATATACAGAATTTACCAAGAATTAGAGAAATTAAATAACATGAAAATGAAACTGCCAATCAACAATGGGAAAACGAACTGAATAGACACTTTTCAAAGACAGAAACACAAATGACCCCAGGAACCCTAAACTGCCAACAGAGAAATGAGAACAAAAATTACTTTGAAGTACTGCTTCACTCCAGGCAGAACAACTGTCATCAACTAATCTAACAACAAATGTTAGAGAAGATGAGGAAAGTGTCAATGAACTGAATACCAAGCCCAAACCCAATGAGAGAATGAATACCAGATGGTAAAGCCTCAGGAAAGTGACACTTCTGCTCTGGAGAGAAATGCACTCCATCTGCAGAGAACATCCGTCTTTTATATAAATTTTGTTGCTGGGCAAGCAAGAGCAAGGAGGCAGATAACAAGGGCCAAAGAAAAGCAGGTAGTTTGAGCTATACCACAAAACTGTTAAAAATTTTAAATAACAGACATGGTTCCAGCTGTGACCCAGTTTGAGCAACTTCATATGTTATCCCCTTCTTGTGTGAGCCATTCTGAAGGACTTTAGATACTGTATCTGTCCTGTGAGAGCACCCTCTTTAAATACATTGAACCTAGGTAAAGAACAATTTAACCCTTGAGTTGATTTCCTTAATTTTAGAGAAGACATTTTTCTCCTATGTCACATCAATCTTCACTCTCCTCGAAGTATTCAAATGCTTGACTCTTCACTTAAAGTTTCATATTGGGCTTTAAGAACCGTTAATTTTAACAGTATTTATTCTCTGTTTCTTGAGGCTGGCAAGATGGTTGAGAATACATGGGCCAAAGTTTAGAGCAAGTAGTAACAGTAAAAGGGGACCTGCAACTGCTGTAACCAGTGTTGTTAGCCATGGGGACCCGGAGAAATGGGATTCAAACCAGCTATAGGAAGCCTGTCTTGCTTCTTCCCTCTGTCTTTTTCTTTGTTTGAACAGAGTAAGGCTGTCTTTACACCAGAATGATTAGCATATAAACAACATTGTTTCCCTGAAGCCATACATAAGCCTCCCTGCTGGAGGCATAATAAATCCAGGCCTGTCCTGTTTTGGAGAAGCACCCGTGCTAGGGAATCAAGGTAGTCAGTCACATGAGAGACAGATTTTCCAGTCTGGACATATCTCGGTCTATCAGTCTCCCTAGCTCCTTATAATTTTGGTTTTCCTTTCTAAGAGCTGCAGTTCCCAGGGCTGTCAATTTAGCTATCTCAACCCCACTAAGGCTGAGATAAGAATAGCTGGTAGGGCTCTTGGGTATTTCCCTCTGGAGAAGATATGGTCTAGACCTCCCTCTCCTAAGAAGTAGTAGACCTGGGGCAGTAAGTCCACAAGGATGACTAGGTTGATACATGCTTTCAACCCTGTTGTACATGCAAACCAGAACCCATGGGAAGGGACCATGAAGTTAAACATATGTCCTGTATCTGAACTAGAAACTGGGATGCTCGAATTATAAAATCTCCCATATGCCAAGCTGTTGGGGCTATAATATTCTGAATGAAAACAGGTACTTTTTCCTTTGAGTTCTCCTTGTATTAAAGAGGGAGACCCTTTGGCCCATGGGCACTGTTGGGGTTTCAGCTCATCAACAGTGATTTTTCTGATATCAGAAGGCTGGTTTCCCTGAGAAGAAAGTGTGGCTATGCCTAACATAGTATGGGGGCCGAGGCTTAATGCAAAGCTAGCAGTCAGCAGTAGCATTAGGGTTAGGAACTTAGGAACTTGAAGGTTCTGTCAAGAATCTTAAGATGTAGCTTTCTTTAGGGGACATCTTAACAGGTAGGTTGGCACAGTGGGAGGTGGCCAGTCCTCTGTTGGGTGAGGGCACCCAAGATGGATTATTGGCCTGATAACCTTACTTGTGACCACTGAAAATTTTGGTTGCTTGGGCTGAGAGCACTGAAGAGTAAACTCAGTGTCAGGGTCCGGTCCTAAAACATATAGCCAGAGGCCCCATGTTTACCCTGACTCCTATCTTTGGTTGACAATAACAGTCAAGACACTTTTTCCTGAAGATGACGGTATGCATTATTGTAAGTAATAGTCTTCATCTTTGGGTTTAACCCAGGAAGCCAGTGTCTCATATCACCATCCCCACACAATGTCATACCATCCACCTCATAAGGGGGTGTTCTATCTGAGGAACAAGGGTAAACTAGCATACCTCTTTAATTTTTCATAATTAGCCAAGTGTTGCAACCCTCTGGTGTGTGCATAATCTTCTACTAGGTCACAGAGATTTATAGTCAGAGACAGAGTCAGGTAAGGGGAGATGGCACTGGCTAAAATCTTGCCATCAGATATTTGGGTGAGTCTCCAGTCATAATACATTGGCATATGAGCACCTAAGTGGGGGGAAAACATCAGCAGGAGAAAGACAAGCATTATGGGTCTTTTTCCCTGCATAGTTAATTGTACCTTGGTAGGTCCCAGGGACCTTACCACCCATTCCTTGGGCACATGTTCAGGTTTTGTCAGCTGTAGATGATTCTGCTGAATCCAGTAAGGCTTGTCAGCTACTTTAACAGCAGTTGGTGTGGCCAAGATCACCTGGAACAGTCCAGTACACTTTCCTCCTAGCTGCTGGGCCATATATTTCTTGACCCAAACCCAGTCAATAGGTTGTATCTCTGGCTCATCTGGTGGGTGTCTCTCCTGGCAGGGTAGCTGGTCCTCTCTGACAGTCTCACCGATGTTGGGCAAGACTGCCTGGAGTGCCTGCAAGGATTTAAGAAGTTCTTGGTTAGTGACTCTTTCCAGGTGTTCTGATTCTAGCTTTGGAATAATGTGGGGAAGCCTTCCAAACGAAATCTCAAAGGGAGTACATAAGGGGTGCAGTGAGCACTTAAGAGGGAAAAGGGGAGGAGACTTACCCAGGTATCACCTGTCTCCACAATCAGTTTGGTAAGAATGTCTTTTAAGGTTTCATTCATCCTCTCTATCTATCCTGAACTTTGAGGGTGATATATACAATGAAGTTTCCAATAGACTTAAGTTAGACCTCAGTAATGTTGGCATCAGGCAATCCATCCTGTCCCAGAACATATTTGTGAGCCTCAATCTGGATCCAACATGCCTCCTCAGAAATAAAAAGACCTGCAAGAGCTGTTGGCAATCTTCCCAGGTGGGACTGTGAGTAGTAAAGATTGTACTTATAAAGAGAGGGTCCTCAGAGAAAGAAGGGTTCTGTTGTTTTCAATTATAAAGGTAGGTGGTAGAAAAGGAACATAAACCTTTGAGGTTTATGGGGTGCTTCCTCTTCAGTAGCCCAGGGCTATGCAGCTGGCATTGCCTCTTCCAAGGGGAGGAGGGAAAGGAGAGTAAGGAAACCCTGAGGGCAGTAAGAACAACCAGACTGGGAGGAAAGTTGAGGTGGAGGAGCCCCAGGCAACAAAAGTGCAAGGTCCTCTTGAGGTTGAGAAGAATAAATGGGAGGAATAAAAACATTTTCATATTCCTCAATCCTCTTGAGGATGGGTGGTCAGGGCCCTGATTCATGGGGAGAATAGAATATGAGGTTTGGCACTTTTTCAGCCATGAAAGGAGAGTTTCTAAGAGGACTCTTTAAGTAATAGGCACTGAGTTTATAACCCAGAGTCAAATCAATGGATCCTTGTGGAGGTCAATTTATACCCAAACTAGGCCATTCCACTTCAGAGTGTTCACAAGCATGGCCCTTTTGGATGAAAACCAAAATTCTTGGTTCTGGCCCTAAAGGTAGAAAAGTTTACTAACACATATTCTAATAGAGTCAGACAAGAGCTCTGCTTCTGTCCCACATTTGAGATAGAGGAACATAACATCAAAACCAAAGTGAAATTGCAAAGGACAGTTAAAAGACAGATGAGCTCACAAAAGACAACAACAGACCAAAGGTTACCTGGACATCTCTGAGGAACCCTGACCAGGCAGCATATAGCCATGCCCAGCCTGCTGCTCAGATCCTGATGGTGCACCCCAGAATCTGAAACTAATGCCTTTTAGGGGTTTGGAGGACCAGGGCAGAGGGATCTCTCTACAGAGCTCTTCTTGACCAACTGGCCTCCAGGAAGTCAAAAGGCCCTAGAGCCATGTACATTTTTCTCAAGGTGTAGGGATCTCGGTGGGACCCCCAAAACTAATAGATTGAATCCCAAACCCAAACCCAATAAGAGAAAGAACACCAAATTGTAAAGCCTTAAGAGTATATTATCTGATGGCACTTCTACTTGGGAAAGAAATGCGTGCCATTTGCAGAAAACATAAGTCTTTTATATAAATATTGTTGCTGGGCAAGAAAGAGCAGGTAAGCAAATTACAAGGGCCAAAGAAAAGCAGTTAGCTTGAGCTATACCACATTTTTTTTTAAATTTGAAATAACAGACATGGCTGAAGCTGTGACCCAGTCTGAGCAACTTCCTATGTTATCCCCTTCCTGTGTGAGACAGTCTGAAGGACTTTAGATGCTATTTCTTTCCTATTATAGTACCTTCTTTACAACACACTGAACCTAGGTAAAGAACAATGTAACCCTTTGGTTGATTTCCTTTCTTTTAGAGAAGACAGTTTTCTCCTAAGTCACATCAAAAGGAAACCTTATTCATTGTTGGTATGTGTGGGTGGTAGTGGTACAAATTAACATACTCAAATGGGAATCAGTCTGATGATTATTAAAAAATTAAAGATAGAACTAAAGTAAGACCAACCTCTTTGACTCCTGGGCATATACCCTGAAAATACCACACCCCACTATAGAGATATTTATACCCCATGGTTAATGCTGCTGTATTCACATTAGCAAAGAATTAAAATCAACCTAATTGCCTATCCCTAATGAATAGACAAATAAAATGGTATTTTTCAAATGGAATACTAGTCAGCTGAAGAGAAAAGTGTAATAAAAATTTGCAGGAAAATAGATGGGCTCATAATATGTATAATTTTGAGTGAAGTCGTATAGTATCAGAGAAAAGATACCACAGTTTTCCCCATATGGAGAATATAGCATTAATATATGTTTATGGAAACAACGCACATGCAGGCACAGCAGAATACGGAGAAAATAGAACAAGAAGGTTTAAATATCAGGGGTTGGAGGTCGGATGGAATGCAGGTAATGAACAACATTTATGAAAAAGCTAACTGCTTTTCTAGTTCTAATTATATCACATGTTTTTTTGGTTCTTGAGGGTAAATAAGTACATCAAAATATACTGGATATTGAAACTATAAAATCAAATGTGAGGCTCCAGAGCTTGTTCCCAATGACTACTCTAATTGCACTCTAAAAGTATGTTGAGTTGTACAGTCTTTGGATCTGGTTAATTTCAGCATGTGATTTTTGCTTGTTAGCAACATTTTTCATAATAAGGTTAAAAAAAGTAATTAGAAGCAGAAATTTAAAGGCTTCCAATGTTTCAAACTATAACATTTCTACATAAAAGGGGGGGCATGACCACTGACCTGGGACAGATTAACTGCAGAGTCAACCATTTCTTTCTGTTTCTGCTCTTTGAGTTTCTCTTTCCGGAACAATGAATAGATGGCTTGCTGACCTTTCAATATTAAGGGGTCAAAAAGAAAGTGCAAAAATTAATACTGAAAGTTGTTAGAGAACAATATTAAACCACATGAAAAGACCAAAGCAATAGAATATGACCAGGTGTCCAGACAATGATCCCAAATTCAGGAGAGCATGGAATAACATTTAAGCTTGAAGAGAAAAATCACAGTAATCAATATTGTTGCACAAAGAAAAAATTCTACCTTAAAATTAATGGAGACATGTGTTGCTGGAGGGCTTCTCTCCAGGTTCCCCAAGCCACAATCCACTTATAAAATAATCACTCAGACGCTTATATCACTTATAAACTGTATGGCCGTGGCAGGCTTCTTGCTAACTGTTCTTTTATCTTAAATTAACCCATTTTTATAAATCTATACCTTGCCACGTGGCTGGTGGCTTACCAGCGTCTTCACATGCTGCTTGTCCTGGCGGTGGCTGCAGTGTCTCTCCCCTCAGCCTTCCGCTTCCTTGAATTCTCCTTTCTCCTTGTCCCACCTACTTCCTGCCTGGCAACCTACTTCCTGCCTGGTCACTGGCCATCAGTGTTTTATTTATATAGAACGATATCCACAGCAGACATGAGTGCATTTGAAGAAAGTTATGAATTAACACAATTCATTTCACTAAAGTAGCACTGCAGATATTAAATTAGAGGCAAAATATACACAGGAGAGTCAGAGGAACTATCCATGAGAATATTGGAAATAATAAATATCATGTGAAGAGTAGATAAATATAGGAGAAATCAGAAGTAATCATCCATGGGCAAGATAGCAAATCACTAATTCTCAGACAAAAGAAAGAAAATTACTACCAATATAATCCAATCAGCAACAACATAAAAAACAAAACCATAGGGAATAAAAACCCTAAGAAGAAGAAGAACAACAACAAAAATCTAGTGACTCTGGAAACCAATATGGAGAATCCTAAAAAAGTTCAAGAAATCTAGCACATGGACCAGTACCACTCCTTGGCATATACTCAAAGGACTTGATATCCTACTCCACAGAAACTTGTTCACTCACTTTCATTGTGTTCTAGTCACGGTAGCTATAAAAGGGAGACAACCTAAATGTCCTTCAACTGACAAATGGATAATGGAGATGTGGTACATATGACCCATATATTATTGTTCAGGGATAAAGGAAATTGAAATCATGAGCTTTGCAGGTAAATGGATAGACCTAGAAAAGGTTATATTGAATGGAGTAATCCTGACAAAGACAGACAGACACAGCATGTTCTCTCTCATAGGAAGTTCCTAGCTCCAAATCTTCAGATGTGAGCACACAACCTGGAGTGACTGCAGTGACCAGAAAAATAAGAACAGACCACTATCGAATGTGGGTGAGTAATAAAGAGGAGATAACAGGGAACAAGTGATCTAAAGGGGGAAATGGAAAACCAAGAAAAGAGATTTAATTATGGAGAAGAGACAAACAAAACATAGAAGGAGGATGTCTAAAAAGTCATAAGAAATCATACTATTATCCATCCAACAAAATATGCCTAATATATATATATATATATATATATATATATATATATATATATGAGTGTAATTGAAACATCTCCATTTGGGCTGATGATGATCCTCACAAGAGCCATAGATTTTCTAACAAAACCACCCACACAAGGCATGAGAAGCCTGTTTTGAAGTTGTTTGTCACAGCTGTCCAAGAGGCACCCAAAACACAGGCTACTGCTATTGTCCATGCTTGCTTCCCAGAGGTAGAAGGTGAATTTCTATTTTTGAAGAAGCCATACACTTCACACGTATAACCCAGAGGATGCAAGATGGATATGACCTTAAAGCCTCCTCCTTGGGGACTAGCTTTCATGGTACTACTAGGCAACATGCAACCTTCCAAAAGAGGAGGCCAGCCAACAGTCCTACCTAGATATGACACCTGTGAACCACAAAAATGATCTGCACTGCATGATAGCCCTAAGGGTACAAGAGTGGCACACAGACCTTGGTGGTAATCACAGCTTCTATTTGGATTAAAACACTGTCAACAAGGGGGAAATCATGCCTGGTACTGGAAACCTAGCCAATTTCCCCTGGGTTAGTAAAGTCAAGGATCCTGGAGAGGAACCTACAATCATTCCTTTACTAAATCAGCATAATCCCTAACTGCAATCTAAATATTTAACCTTATTCCCACAGAAAAATGTAGTTCTCACCCCTCATCAATAAAAATAATTTATGCAATACATAGAGATTGTTACAGAAAACAACAGTCAGAATGCAGAGTTGTGATGCCCAGTCCCCACTGACACATAAGCAACACAACTCCTTTGTGTTCAGGGATCACTGGGAAAGAGGGGCAGAAATACTGTAAGAGCCAGAGGAACAGGACATTTACTGTGAGATTGCATCCCCTAGAAATGTCAGAGAAGCTACATGCATGAAATCATACAAACATGCTGATTAAACATGAACGGAACAAGAACACCACCACGACACTTGCTAACATGGAAAGAGGAAAGCTCACTAGGCCTCAACCCTAGTCAAACACTAAGGAATTCTGAGAGCTGGGAAAATTTCCCAGAGAAAAAGGCGCCATATGGTTATCCAATACCAAATGTTCATCCATGAAAACATAAAGACTGAGTAGGTTGTATTTTTATGTTTAGCATACACACAAATATACAAAAACAATAGAAGAAATAGTTATTAATAAATAATAAATGTAGATGAAATTCTAAAGTCTTATTAAATAAATACAGAGTTAAAAGCCCAAGAGATCAGAGCACTTAGCTTACGAGTCACTGCCGTCCTTCCCCTGAGAGAGAGACCTTCTCCTGTATGACCTGTCTTTTTATTGCCTTTCTGTTCTACCTTCTCATTGGCTCTAAACCCAACCACATGATTTCCTCATCACTGCCTATCTATACAGACCTTCAGATCTCTATGGTTCGTACTGGGATTAAAGGTTAGGGTCACTGCTTGGCTGTGTACTTGACTAAGCAGAGACTGCCTGCCATGTGATCAGATTAAGGGTGTGTGCTACCACTGCCGGACTTCTGCTAAATGGCTTGCTTTTAGCTCTGATCCCCAGGCAACTTTATTCATTAATATACAAATAAAATCACATTTCAGCACAAACAAAATATCACCATATTTCCCTTCTAATAAAAAGAAAAAAGTAGCCGGGCGGTGGTGGCGCACGCCTTTAATCCCAGCACTCGGGGGGCAGAGCCAGGCGGATCTCTGTGAGTTCGAGGCCAGCCTGGGCTACCAAGTGAGTTCCAGGAAAGGCACAAAGTTACACAGAGAAACCCTGCCTCGAAAAACCAAAAAAAAAAAAAAAAAGAAAAAGAAAAAAGTAAAAGTTATAACTAATATAAGAAAAACTATATACAATAAGTACAATAACTATATACAATACATACAAGCAATAAATACCTAAACAATGTCTAGTCCATTTGCATTTGACAAACTCAGAGAAAATAATTCCATTATCTATCCTATTTTGGTAAGTCCAAAATGTACCTGATTCACTTTCTATCCTAACTTATATTACTAACAGAGAACTATCTTATAATGCCTTTCAAATTTATACACTTACACCTCTTTAGTGAGTTTCTTTTCTGAAATTCTTAACAAGGAAAACTATAACCATCTAATCTTCAACTGCCTCAGAGACTGAAGAAGGAAATAATATTACTAAAAAAACAGGAAGTGCATGAAAGCGGCTTCCAAAAAAAAACGTGAGTTGACAGAAATAGCCAGCTGCCTGGACAGTCACCCGAGATTTCTCTGCAACGTTGGGGCATCATCTTCAGACTAATGGCTTAGCATATCTGACAGATTTATTTGTGAAGTAGGATGTACACAAGGCCTACATTTCGACCTCACATTTGGTGAGAGTAGTCCATGTACCAGAAACACCTGAATTCCACCAGTGTCCTGTCATGATTCAGGGTTTTAAATTCTGGAAATTTTTGATTTTTTTTTTTTAAATTCAGCTGTCCATTCTTCTTGGCTTGTGGGTGGCTTCATCTCTTTTATTAAATGCCAGTCTACCATTGAGAGGTTAGACTCCGTCAGCTTAGTTACTCTTTCAAGAATAACTGTTTCAGCTGCTGTTCCACTGCATATCAGAAGCCATCGGTCCACTGCCAGTTCAGCTGCCTTTGAAGAAAAGGGCACTGTACCTTTTCCAGATTGCAAAGACCACTTCAGGGATGGTGCCATATAGTCCTGGCCTCAGAAGATACCTGTTGTTAAAGCCATAATGACACTTGTCTTGGCAAGAATCGATAGTCCTTTGTTTCATGTCCTGTCTGTCCATTTTGTCCTGTTTGTCAGCAGTCGATTCGAGGATACTTTGTTGTCCAGTGGCTAACTTTTGCCACAGTGAAAGTTAACTCATATGCAGTGACAGAAAATCAAGGCAAAAGCTGAAGACAAGGAGTGGATACCTGTCACCAACTCTGGCTGCCTGGTTAAGGACATGAAGATCAAGTCCCTGGAGGAGATCTACCTGTTCTCCCTGCCCATTAAAGAATCTGAGATTATTGACTTTTTCCTGGGGACATCCCTAAATGATAAGGTTCTAAAGCTCATGCCAGTGCAGAAGCACATTCAGGCTAGGTAGAGGACCAGGTTCAAGGCTTTTGTCATTATTGGGGGCTACAGTAGTCATGTGGATCCTGGTGGTAAGTGCTCCATGGAGGTTGCCACTGCCATCTGAGGGGACATCATCTTGGCCAAGCTTTCCATTGTCCCTGTATGGCTAGGCTACTGGGGGAACAAGATTGGCAAGCCCCACACTGTTCCATAAAAAAGTGACAGGCAGCTGTGGCTCTGTGTTGGTGCTTCTCATCCCTGCCCCCAGAGGCACAAGAACTGTCTCTGCTCCTGGGCCCAAGAAGCTACTGATGATGGCCAGTATTGATAAATGCTGCACATCAGCCAGGGTTTTCACTGCTACCCTGGGCTACTTTGCTAAGGTCACCCTTGACACCATCTCCAAGACCTACATCTACCTGACCCTTACCATTGGAAAGAGACTGTTTTCATCAAATCTCCTTATCAAGAATTCACTGACCATCTTATGAAAACCCAGAGCAGAGTCTCTGTTCAGAAGAACCAGGCTCCAATTGTGACCACCACATAAGGATTTTAATATAAGAAAAATAAAGTGAATTAAGTCTGTTAATACACACACACACACACACACACACACACACACACACACACACACAGAGTAAGCACTATTAACAAATGATAAATTAATCCATTAGATAGAAAGTTGTGATCAACATGGGTGCATGTCACAAAACCCAGAATGCAGACATCTACAGCAGACAGAAAACGGAAAAATACATAAAATATGTGAAAACTATCATATTGCTTCATGTTCTTTGCAAACATAAGAAGACAATCTAGAAGGAGTCTGTCTTCTTTAAGACTCCATGCAATTCCTATCACAATCCTATTGCATGTTTTACAGAAAGGAATTCTAAAAATACCAAGGACCAGCAAAGAGCCAGAAAATACTAAGAGGATTAGCCTAGAGGTGATCTCATGGTATACCACAATTACAGCAATGGAAACCACGTGGAATTGTCATGACCACAGACAATGGGATATATCCATGGGAAGACAGTATAAACAGAGTTTAGCAGGCTGTAATATATACTTCCTGATTCTTATCAAAACTCTGTTGGCATTACTTTTAGGAATGGAGACATTAACACTAAAAGGTAGAGAATGTGCTAGAATACCAAAGCTCCATAATTCTGGTAACTATATAAACCTAGAGGTATTAATTTTCATCATTTTATAATACATTAAAATCATAGGCATGAAAACCAATTAATATGGCATAAAGATGTGATGAGCGATGTGAATGAATAAGGACAGCATCACTCACATGCATAGTCAAATAAAATTTCATTTGATTGCATTATCAATTATTCTGTAGAAAATCTTCTCATGTCTACATTAGGATAATCCTGAGGAAATTCTCCTCAGTGGGAGTCTCCAGAATTATTTCTAGTGAAACAGAATGTGGCAAAACTGATTTCATGTCCCACTTATATATTCATTTGAACCCTTGCCACCCTTCACCAATCTCTACACCATATCTGGGTCCTTAGCTACTGTCTCCTCCCTCTCCATCTCCCAGGTCTCTTTGGTCTGCTCCACTGGTAACCAGGGCTGGCTGATCACTGAGCCCTTCATACGAGAAAGATACTTCAGAAAACTCCTAGATTTTTAAAACAGTACTGTGTACAGTAAAGAGAAAACAAAACACAGGATTATACAAGTGTTTCCCCAATTGTCATGCAGTGTCAGAGTACTGAAAATATTTAAAAAGCATTTTCAGTGAGTATAACTGGAATCCCACTTCCAATCACAGCAGTACTGTGTACAGTAAAGAGAAAACAAAACACAGGATTATACAAGTGTTTCCCCAATTGTCATGCAGTGTCAGAATACTGAAAATATTTAAAAAGCATTTTCAGTGAGTATAATTGGAATCCCACTTCCAATCACAGCTCAATCAAATCTCAGGGGCAGAAATGGGACTGAATTATTGGAACGTGTATACTATACACTAGTGAGGTTCTGAATTTATCACGGACCCAATATGAGGAAGCCTCACACCTCCCAAACAGACACAGAGGAAGAACAGAGATTATTTCATGTAGATTTTCTTTTCTGAGGATTTCACTTTACTCTGTGAGATGTGAGAACCATTCACACAAAGCTCATACATTTGCACAGTAATCTGCCAAGAAACCCTGAGGAGGAGCAAGGGAGACTGCAGGCAAACTATTCTCACCCACAGAAACCAGACTGCTCTAATTCTGTAACATCATCTTTGTCTCTGCACAAAGCCCTCAGGACAGGATCCAGGCATTGCCACTTCTCTTGGGAGAAGTCCACAGTCACACCACTGGCTGTCAACAGACCATAATCGAAAAAGACAATGGTTTGAATGGTTGTGTTGATGTAAACCTCCAGAGACAGAGGTGGGTGGAGCTCTGTTAGTTTCTGTCCAACTGGTCTACATTGTGAGTTCTTGACCAGACAGAGGCACATTGTGAGATCACATCTCAAATGAAGGAAGCACAATAACCAGAAAAATAACAATTTGGTCATATGTTCATGGACAGAGTACTTTTCTTGAACCAAGAAGACAAAAGACTACTGCAAACATTTTTCTGATATAGATGAGTAATTTTAATTATTCAAAAGATGCATTCTAACAATATCCTACACTAAAATGCTCTTTTCTTTTTCCTTTTTGCTTTTTTCAAGACAGGATTTCTTTGTGTGGCCCTTGCTGTCCTGAAACTTGCTCAGTAGACCAGGCTGACATTGAACTCAGTGATCTACCTGCCTGTGCCTCCGTAGTGATAGGATTAAGGACATGGGCTACCACCACCTGGCTTATAATGTCTTTTCTAACTGTGAAAATAGTGTGACCTGATACCCTTAAGCAGCATGATGTGATTTCCAGACTCCAGGTGCAACATTCAGAACTCAGGCACAAGGAGACAAATTTTGGTTTCTGTTTGTTTGTTTGTGAGACAGGGTTTCATAATATAGCTATGGATGTCCTGGAACTAACTACGTAAACCTGGCTGGCCTCAAACTTACATCTGCCTGCCTCTGCCTGAGTTCTGGTATTCAAGGCCTGTGCCACCAAGCCTGAAAAGGACACTTTTCAGAATGCTGTATCTACACTTCAGAGTGCATTTGTCTAACACGAAAAAATGATGGATAAAATGTTTACTTTTAAAAGTTAATGTTTACAACCATATCTGTGGAGCTCGCAAAGTAATATTTTTCTCAGGATCAATCAAATCTGCATGCATTCCTTTCATAACTAATATCTAAAAGCTCTCCAGGGATGACAATTCCCCAGGTCTAGATGCCATTCTTTTGAAGGGTGAGTGGTTTAAAACGGAAGTCAGGGTGATGAACGTGAATTTCAAGCGCTCTTTTCTATCCATCATAGCAAAGAGAACACGTTTGCAAATATCAACAAATAAATTCAAATATTCTACTAGAGTCTTCTTATAAGAATATTTTGCTCCAAAAAAGAGAGGAAAAAAAAAAGAATATTTTGGCAACCAGAAAATAAATGAAAAAGAATCAGAATTAGTCCAGTTCATATGATCTAAAATTTACCGAAGACATCCATAGCAGAATTTGAGAGCCGGCTTCCTTAAGAACAGCAGAGAAACTGCTCGCACCCTTGGTCCCTCCCCTCCCGTGTCCCAGCCCCGCAGCTCCTCTGACCTGGGAGGTTCCAGGGCCACCGGGCTGCGGTTCCCGCCACTGCGCTGCTGACTGGTGACTTTCCCAGGCCGCCCCGCGCGGCGACTGCGGCTCCGGGGAGATTTCGTGTCCCCGTGACCCCCCTCCGTGTCCTCCGCACCCAGGTCTGCACCACGCGGTTCCCCACCGTGCAGTACCTGGTGCAATGACAGAGAATGGGCACTTGTTTTGGTTCCTCAGCCTAACTAACCGGGCCTCAGTAACAGGACTTCCCAGCTTCCGTTACGTCACTCCGTTGACCCCTCCCACTCACGTACTTCCTCTACACCTTACCAGTGTCCAACAATCTCCTCCAAAGGAGGTTTCCGGTTGTGTGTCCCCGCCTCTGTGAGCCTGGTCCCTTCCACTCAATCTCAGGCTGCCTTCCACACAGCTCCAGCTGTCAGGCTGCCCTGGAACCGCTCTGCACAGCCTCCCCACATGCTCGCTGGCAGCCTGGACCAGAACTGGATCTAGGAGGACGCTGCACCCTGGTTATTGGACCATCTTATCCTGAGTTTTGACCACTTCGGTTTGAAATTGTTCAGTCTAACGCCTCATTTTGGGATTCCAATGTCCTGTCCTATAAACTCAGATAGAAAGAGACAGCAATCCTCTTAAATCCTGATGCTTGCTCACATACCCCAAACACTAACATGAAATATTGCTGCCCCAAATCAACATTTCCTTGCCTATGTCCCCTAGGGAGAACAAAATAGATTAAATGTAAGAAAATGTAAGACACACACACACACACACACACACACACACACACACACACACACACAGGTTTTATATCCTGCTAGGCACACCCCCCTGTACAGACAAATCCCTCACACATAGCTAGGTGTCAAGACCAGCTAGGCATTCCCTACCTGCATTACATAAAGAGTGCCGTACACACTTGAGTTCTCTGATTCTGCTAGGTACACTTTTCCTATAGTGAAAGCCCAGCATATACATACAAGTCTATGTATCAGGTCCCCTGTGACATAACCCTTCCCCTACAACCAAAGACCACATATAATACCCAATTATGTGATACATCCTGCTACATATATACCCTCCCCTACAACCATAGCCCCATATTCACACAAGGCAAGTGTCTGGTTCTTCTATTTATCTCTTCTCTTCAAACCAAATCTCCAAATGCATATATACAGTTAGGTGTTGGGTCCTGCATGGAATCCCCTTCCCTACAGCCACAGACCTACTATCACATGGTAGGCTAGGTGTCAGGTCCTACTGTGCATCCCCTTGCCTACAAATAGAGCTTACCACACAGGTATGTTTCAGGTCTTACTTGGTACAAACTTCCCTACAACACAATCTACACATACATACTCACACACACATACATACACACAAGCACACATGCATGGTGCATGGAAAGTGTCAGATCCTGCAAGATACCTCTCCCCATACCAGTACAGTTACACACACACACACACACACACACACACACACACACACACACACACACACACAGAGAGAGAGAGAGAGAGAGAGAGAGAGAGAGAGAGAGAG